ACCCAATTATTGGTCAAAAGGAGGATGTTGCTCTAGATGATAAATTTTAGAACATAAATTAGAAAATTGACGATGGAGCACATTATTATTATTAAAATTAAGCCTTGCATCCACAAGAGTATTGGAATTGCAGTTCTGAAGATGGGAATAAAGGTCGCGAAACGTAAACTAGCCTGTTAACATGTAACGTTAAAAATATACTCGAATTGTTAACAACTGGAAGTTATTATTGCCAAGCAACTAAATTAAATTGACAACTTCCCAGGAAAAAAGAAAAAAAAAAGAATTAAATATTGTATTAAATGAGCTATAATGTATCACAAATTACAAATACCAAAAGTTTCTTCCAGTAAAGTAGGTCGAGTAAATTTGTTATGATAAAGCAAATTAGATTTCTTGATTATGATTCAATTAGGAAATATATGACTCAGTTAATTATTCATTAATGAATCAGAAAGCAGTCTCATTTTGAGATTTTTTAGACAGTACTTGAACAATTTCAGTGTTCGAAACACACCTCGATGACCAACATGCTTGGGTTGTAACGTCGGCAACAATAAAAAATCTCAAAAACGACTGCTTCTTGATTATTTATCTCCTATGACTCAGTTAATGGTTTAATGTTCTAATACAAATACGAACATACATTTAATGTATACCAATCTTGAGGTTATTCTATTTTATTCTTCTTTGTAATATTTCTGGCCTGGATAAAGGGTTTGTACTGAAAAGTTAAATGGATAGGATTATGTGATTTTACAAAAAAATTGTTTACAATCTCTCAGTACTTTTCATAGAAATGTCACATCGTCTACTGTTTAACTTTTAAAAAATACATGTTTAAGTTGCTTTTGTTTATTCAACTCATACATCAAGAATGATCCTGCATACATTTCATAAAATAAATAAATAAAAAGTAGAGATGCTAAAATCGTTACTAATTACAAGCTTGGATAGATGCAAATTTTTATGAAATAAAGAAACAAGCAGTTAGTAAATTTAAATAATTAAGAAAAAAGTAAAGTTGTTTGTATGAAAGTTAGCTAAAAAAAATATAAATTAAAAAAAACTTCACAATAAGTGTTAATTTTGAAATAAGGATTTGTAACAGGCTTATCCATCGAAAGTGGTGTTATTCTTTGTACAGAGGTTTCACTGTATTAGTAAAATTTCATAAAATAAAAAATCATTGTTATAAAGCTATTAAATTTGCAACTTAGCTAGGGATCTATAATGTTCATTGTTGTTCTTCCAAACTGAATGAAATTTATGAATGAATAATATAATATGAATTGTAACTTCAAAATTATAAGCTCGATCTCCTCCTCCTCTCTCATATAAAACACGATATAGCTCCTAAATGACAATTGTATACAAATGCTTTATTTATATGTTTCCTTAAAGGTAAAAATATTAACATTTCATAAATATAAAACAGTAAATATACATTTAATTTATATATATATATTTTTTTTTTTTACAATTACATTTAGATCAAGAGAAGAGTAAATTTTTGTTATTATATTAAGAAATAACAAATTAATTAGAAGTAATAAAAAAAAAATGTTTATATAAAAAAATTTTATTAAGAAAATAACACAACTTTTTATTTATAACAAAAATTAAATTTAGCAATTACATATTCAACACATGAGTTGAAAAATTCCTTCTTTTTTCCATGCATAAATATTATTAATTAAATAATAAATAAGATTTAAAAAATAAAGAGATAAAAATACATATGTGTGTTTCTTTAATAATACTAAAATGAAGATATTAGCCGATAATAATGATTTTACTGGTTCCTTTCCAGTATTGAACTAAAAAATTTATTGTTACAATATCAATTGTTCTTTAGACTACAAGAGACTATATCCAAGTCATTACAGTAAAAATTATTAAACAAGCATAAAACATTAAAAAAAATATATAAATAAATAAAAACATAAATCCTCATTATCAAATGTTTACTCGTAAATTTTCTTTATTATTATTAGATAAACCTTAATTAATATATAAAAAATACAACAGTGTGTCCTGCCATTATTGGTTCGGCGCCACTTTATTTTTAAGAATCGGGGACTTAATTACCTAGATTCAGTCAAGCAGAAAAAGATGATTTTATACTTTATAAACATTAATTATTTAATTCATCAGGAAACATTTTCATCCAAGAGGGAGGAGGAAAAACAATCATATAAATCAAATATATATATACATAATACTCTCTTTGAAATAACATAATCGAAAATAAAAATCATTCATAAAAAGAGTTTAGTCTACAACAGAATGACCTACCCACATTAACCGCTTTACAAATCAAAATGCAATAATGGAATGGAAAATAAGTTAACTTTTTAAACATGATTTATTTTCTAATTTAAATTAATAAAAATAACTAAATCTGTATTCTATTTAATAATACCTGTGATAAATGGGTATTCAGAATCGAGTAAATACTACAATATTCTATTATAGAAATAAGCAATGATTTCAAAATTAAGAAGAATATAATGAAGAAGGAAGTAGTAGAAAATATATAAATAATATGGTAACAAAATTTAATTTTAATAGTTATAATGCGTACCCACCATTTGAGCCATTAGGTATGCAACACCTTTTTAAATTTTCTTTTTATTGTTTCATTACAACATGTATAGGAAATACAATAGATGCATATCTATCGCATCTGACTCATGTGCATACATTAGATATCATTTTAACTGTCTTAAAAAAAGTAAATTCAAAAAACGAAATATAGTGAAGCCCAGCATATCCAAAGTGGTCAGGAATAGAATTATGTCGGATTATGAGAAATCATTCTTAAAAGAAACTGGAATTAAATTATAATGCGTGCTTAACAGGTTTTGAAATAATTTTCCGTAGTCTATGATAGCCCTGGACCCAGGACACGAAAATCGACCTGATCGTAGGTGAAGGTTTGATTGTAAATTACAAAAGTGTATGTTATTTTAATTCCAGAGCAGCTGTTTAAAAAAATGACGGCTGATTTAAAGAATATTAGGCCAGTAACTTGAGAATCGAAACGGGAAATCCATTGCAAAAAATGTGAGAAAACTCTTATTTTTTTAACTTGTACATTTGGGTTTAGACACGTAGAAAACAAAATTGCAAGCGTGGACCACCAAGGTAAAACTTTTTACAGCCAAAAAATCAGATTTTTTTTGTTTTTTCAATTATAACTCCTAAACAATGCACCGAAGTGAAAAATGTACTCTACGAAATTACAGAATGTTAAATTTTGTGTCGAACGAGTACATAAACTGAATAATTGGTTGCCTAGTAAGGTATAAAACCTCGATCAACCAACACTGATACTTACTAATTTTATCAATAACTGAGACAAATTACGATAAATGGCCCTGTAACTTGGAAACGAGTTCCCTAAGAGGAAAACCCATAGAATAAAAGTTGTAAAGCAATCCACAGAGAACTGATATTTTTATTGTAGGCCAATTACATATTCGAATCAGGATTCATTATTTCTTTATGAAATCCGGTATCTTTCGACACATTGTTTATCAAAATACTTCGCTGCTGAGAGATGGAAAAGAGGCTTATACAGCATGTAACAGACTCGACTCTAAACAAAAATAACTCAGTAAATTAACCCAAAATGTTAAAATCTTGAAAATCAAGTATACCTTCACTAACAATTTCTAACCATCAGGAAATTACCAATTTTGTTCAGGGTAAGTGCCCTACATTGAAATGGTTGGTATTCAGTGGTAGCAAAATTTGATGTTCTAGAACTTTGATTCTGTTTTTTTTTTCTTAAGGAATTCGTATCCAAGCTATAGGGCCATTTATAGTAATTTGACTCTGTTTTTGACAAATTTGGTAAAAATCAGCTTTGGATGACCGTGGTTAGCTATCATACCACTTGACCAAATTATTAGGTTTAGGTACTCCTTCGACGCATAATTTAACATTCTTTTTTTATTAAAGTGTACATTTTTTCCTTTTGATGCATTGTTTAGGAGTTATAATTGATAAAAAACAAAAAAATCTGACTTTTTTCTCTAAAAAGGTTTTCCCATGGCCCGCATTAGCAATTTTGTTTTTCTATAAGTCTAACTCCATATATACAAGTTAAAAAAATAAAACAGTAATTACTTCGGTACATTGTCTAGAATATATTTAATTTTCTCTTAATTTTCAAAAATATAATTAAATTTCGATTCCATATAAAGCAGACTTTCGGATTATCGGGGCTCCACTGTATGAGATAATGGGAGAGCTAAAAGTATAAACTAACAATTGATTAAATGTTACATTAAAATGATAAATACTGGTGGAATATTTTATGTTAATCCAACATAATGAACAGTAACTATAAGAAGATTGAGATCATAATAATTATAACTCTGGTGGGATTAAACTATAAACGTGTAATATAGATAGCTATGATACAAACATTAAAGATTAACAAAAAAATAAAATAAAATAAAAAATCAAAATATTATAAAACATTGTTTATTACTGCAGTTTTACTTCCCCGATAAGAAAAATAAAATTAATATACTTTTAACAGTATTATTTTTTAACCATCTTAATTTATAACAGAAAAATCATGTGCTCATTGCCAAATAAGATGTTTATATTCAAATTAATCTATATTTCCGCAGTTAACTTTTAATGCACCTCAATCATATGAATATAAACATATGGTAAAGAAATATAAATCAATTATCAATTGTTGTAAAGTTGATTCCAAATAATAAAGCTAAATGTAACGTCACTACAATTTAAAAAAATACATCCTACAGGATAATTATCTCATTGACAATTATATGCGATGATGTCATCACTTAAAAAAATATTTTAGGTGTTGCAAATAGTATGGCATTACAAAAAAAAAATTGTATCTATAACTGCCTTCCTCTTCTTAAATTATGTCTAAAATATTTACTTATTGGAAAAATAACTAATGAAATCAATATAAACAATATCAATGATAAAATATTTAAAATGGAAGGATTCTTAATAAATATTTATAATAAAATTAAGAGTAATGATTTATTTTATTTTTTTAAATCATGACTCAATAATATTCACTAAATAAAAATAAAACTATAATAAACAAATTATCAATACTTCGGATAATTGTACATTACCGACAAATGCAAAGGCAGTATTCGCTAGTGGAAGAAAGTATTAAATAATGTCGGTATTATACTTTCTTTATCTAAGTGCCCGAACATGGATAGTTAACAGAAATATGGTTTTGTTGAAAGTTATCAGGAAATAACTTTCTTGTGAAAAGTCTTAACACATATGGCTTTCTTTTTCGATAACACATTTCAATTATGAAGTTTTTCTTTTAACAAGCAAAATTATCATGCCAGAAAAAATAATATATATGCATATATTATATGTGATAAAAAAAAAATTATCTACATTGAGAATTTAGCATGCAGATAATTATACGTATTATTAAATTAAGAAAAACAAAATAAATGATAAAATATAATATAATCGTGTTCTGATCACTTTGATAAAACCTTATTGCTATTAGAATGCTTCGGCGTAGCAGGCGACGATGGGGCACTTGTTACCAAAGTACTGTTATTTTCTCCATCCACCTCCATCTGGAAAGAAATTCAATTTTTGTATTTTTTTTTTTTTTTAACATATGAAATTAACAACTGTATAAAAATAAATGTACATCCAGTAAATGTGATACATAGAGATACAATGGCATGTAAATACTTGTAGAGAATATACCTATTTTGTAGCATTTTAATAAAGTATCTAAATTATGAGATCACGAGGCCATCTTCTTTTCAGAGACCTCTGGGGATTATCAGGGATCGAAGAGGAAGCAAGGATAGAAACGAGAGGAATAGGTATCTGTAAAACGCCAAATTGGATACATAAGGAACATTAAGGTCATTATGGATGATTTTATTTATGACAAAGTATGGAGCATTGAGGATTTTACAAAGGATTTTGGATTTTAAGGATTGGAGCTCTGAGCTCAACTCTATATGTCCAAATAGACCTTATTATAGTAATGTATATGAGTCTTTTGTAATTAATTGGAAACTCAGAGCATTTGTCTGGTAAATGCTGAAGTAGTCGGAAAGGTTGAACATTTACTTGGGTTTTCATGGTGGTATGAAGATTCCGAGTTAGACATTTGTTCTGGTTGAGTCTTAGGTATCGGATTTGTTCAACAAGGATAAGTAGGGTATTGTTAAAGGATACTCTAGGACGGAAAGTCATGGTTTACTACGAAGGTTAAGGGAATTTGATGGGAATATTGGAATTTGTTTTAATTCTCCAATTTTGACACCATTCTTCAAGGTTTATGATGTGTGATTGAAGAGTTTGGGATGCAATTGATGAGTCGTTATCAACTGATAGGACATATGTTTCATAGCGGTATAAACTGTCTAAAAGATGGGACCTAGGATACTACCTCCAGGAACACCAGCGGACTGGAAAAAGAGAGATAAATAGGCATTGTTGTGATTTACTTCAAAGTATCTATCAATAAGGTAGGAATAGATAATGAGGAGGTATATAAGTGCTAGGAATTTTCAGAGTTTGTACAGCAGTCCCTTTGTACTTTATTTTTTATATAGATACTTTTTTCCCCTCATAAATGCACCTTTTCCTTCATGTTCATGTTATTATCAGTACTAAATAATATATAAGTACCTAGTCCTGTCATAAATATTGTGATAAGGAAATATATACATATTTCAACAGAAAAATTAATTTGTTCAAAAACTTTATAAGAAAATAAAATGTATACCTATAGAGTAAAAGAAAAAAGAAATCACTCAAAATAAACCCCTTTTGCCTTGACACAGGGGCATTTAATCTCCGTGGCCAATCATCAATAGCAGCACGCAGCACTTCTTGAGGAAAGTGCTCAACTGCTCGGACCAGAGATTGTTTGAGGCTTTCCAAGTTAGGGTGTGCTCTGTGGCATGCCATCCTCTCCAGTTTGGAGGCCTTGTGAGCTGGAACGGAATCCTGCTGGAAAACCCAATGACTTCCAGCAAACAGATTATCATTTAGAGGCTTGACAACAGGTTCCAAAATATCATCATGATAGTTTTTAGCAGCTGTTTTAACTCCTTTTCACAAAAATGGAGTTTTGTGGTGCCATAAAAACAAACTACCTACTGAGGAGGGGTGATGACCTCTTTCCACTTTTCCAATGATTTCCTGGATTCTAAACAAGTTGTGTGGGTACATACGATCATTTTGGTGATTAAATTTTTCTTCAATTGTAAAGATTTCTTATCGCTAACCAAAATCTTTTGATGAAGATCATTGGTGTAATAGCCAAGGAGCACTTTGCATCTATCCACTCTTAATTTTTTTTAGGGAAGTGGTTAGCCTTTTTTCTGTCATTCTTCGAAATGCAGCCATCCTAAGGTCACTTTTTATTGAAATGAAAATAGATTTTTATTATCCTGGGGCTGTTGTCCCTTTAGGACAAATTATAGATACAGAGGAAATGCCTGTGTGACCATAAGATTAAATTAAATATTTACAATTCTCATTAAAATTAAAATATTGGAAGAAACTTAAAACAAAAACACTATATATATACAGATATATATATATAATACAAACATATGAAAATAAATTAATATAAGTAAACAAAATCATTTCTGGGAGAACTTAAAAGTTCTCTTATCTACTTTTCTTGATCAGTCGGGTTGGGAAATAAGTAGGTGCTTAAAAAGGAGAGATTTAAATGAGGAAACTGATTGCGCATGTCGGATATCAGGAGGGATGGTATTCCAGATGGAGAAGGCTTGAATTATAAAGGATTTGTCAAATTCAAATGCAGCAGTTCGGTGAGGAGGTCGGTAGAGGTCAGAAGTACAGGATCTAGTGGGACGGGATTGAATGGAATATTTAAATTGTAGGCTATGAAAAATATAGGAAGGTCGCTGAGTTCTGATGGCTTGGTATAGAAAGGTAGCAAGGAAGTACAGACGGCTGTTGGATGGATAGAGCCACTTCAGCTTGGTGTAATAATGGGTTATATGCATATCTCTGGAGATTCCAAAGACAAAACGTATTGCGCAGTTCATTAGGCGTTTAAGTTTGGCTTCAAATTCTCACGAGAGTCCACCGTACACCAGACAGCTATTATTATGAGAAACATTGATCTGACAGAGATTCCCATTTCCCGAGACATGATTTATTGTTTTCAAATGGAATTTCTTCTGATTTGAGCAGCCACTGCTCTCATTTCATTTGCCGTTCTCACAGTGAGGGGACGGCCCGGCCGAAGTCTGTCACATACAGATAGGGTCTCATTATATCTATTTATAGTGCGGTACACGAACATACGGCTGATACCCAAAGGTTTTGAAAATCTCTGACCTACATTTTCCAACTTTGTGTAAGTCAATCGCAGCTACTCGGTTCTCTTTATTACCCCACTCTATGTTAACTGAGCGAAAGAAAAATACAAATTAATTGGGATTATCATTCTGACATGTAAAGAAAATAACCTGGTAAAGGTAAGGATTATCTAAATAATATCCTAGGATGTAAACAAAGTTCAACTTTTGTAACAGTATTTATGGTAGAACTAGGTAGTGACTATTTGCAATAAATTTATAATATATAAACATTTTATCTAATAAAAAAAAGTATGAAATTGCTTGTGCCTAATGGGCACAGGTGATCTAGGTACCACCCCCTATTTTGGAGAGGAGGGGGGTGAATTATTTTTGATCATTCCTGATTGTTGTAACCAATAGCCAATGTATCTCAAAACAAAATGAACTTTAATTCTGAACAGATAAAAGAACATTTTTAAATCAAATCTATGAGACATACTCAACAAACATAATCATACTTAGCAAATAATATATGATAGTATGAAAAATAAAAAACATTCCTTGCTTACTTTTACTTCGGTGTCAATGACGGGGCCGTGTTCAGCTTCATATTCTGAAACAACTTTGTCCAAGTTGTACCTCTTTCTCTGATTTGCATAAAAGGAACGTACGTGAGCTTCTGTTTTGGTACCTATGATTTCAGCTATTGTGGAAAAGTCTTTCCCATGCATTCGAATACCTAAAAATAATAAAAAAGTATTAGTATTGACCTATGTGGAGTGGGATAGCTCAGTTGTAGGGAGCTGACTTCCAAGCTCAAGGTCTCAGGTTCGAATCTGGCTGATGGCAGATAAATACTGTTTCGTCTGCCGTTGATTGACCCTGGGGTCGGAAAATCCTCCTGGGGCACACCCACAGCCTCTATAAAGTGGGTAGTCTTAATTAAATAATTAATTAAGTGGACAACCTAATGATTGAGCGTGATCTCGGTTAAATCATCTAGCACAAATGTCGACCAAGAAGTTATACTTCCTTACAAAGTACTGAACCCAAACGATGTTGTAACCACGTACTAGTAGACTCCATCTAAGATAAGTATGCGGGTAGGTAAAAAAGTGTCTCTATCACGGAATATGAGTGAGGGTAAGCTGCACGAGCTTCCTTCCCCTACATGCAAACTTATTTTAGATACACTATACAGGTTTTACTTACCTATATATGTTATGTGCAGATTATAGTCAATATAAAACAACTAGAGGCAATACAAACAATTTGAGAGACTTGATTGCAAGTTCATGCATTTTAAATTTTATTTTTGCAAAATGGATTTGCGTCAGGACCTAAGTTTTATAATAATAGATATGGTTGTGAAAAAAGAAAAAAAAATCTGGTCCATCATCCATCACATTACTAACACCTACCAAAATAACTAAATTTTTGCTCAAATAATGCAAGTTGGATCAAAAGTAATTGAAGATTATTAGCATACCAGGTGTGTAAAAACCGTAATTCGTCCATAGATGCCTCTAGTTGTTAAAGTAGTAGCCGTTAAACCACGTTATTGGCACCATTTTGTTTCTTCGACAGCTGGGAAAGATTTTTTATTTACAATACAAGTTTCATATGATAGCATCCTTTTAATAGTGTTGAACATGTTGAGTTTTGTACCTACTAACTACGATTTGCGAACAGCATTAATTATCCGATATCATTAAGGATAACTGTTACGAAATCGCAACAAATGCTTGTCAATGCTAGCAGTAAGCACGATCTTGGTAAATCACAGTGCTTAGAGTGGTATAAAAAATTCAGCATGTACTTCTACACGACTTCTAGAACTAAATTACAATAAAACGGTTCTCAAACAATTTTAGAAAAATTCAGTGCATCATATATTTTTGGTTTGTCAAGCTTAATAATAATTTTAGAAGTTTAAATTTAATTTATTTTTCATGGAAACATTTAGTCTCATAAAATAAATTATTGATTTTATATAAATAAATAACATAAAATAACGATAGTTCTCAGAATAATCCCTCAAGAAGATAGAAATGGCCAGCATCTCTACTTAAGTCCGCAGGGTATCGGTCTCCATTGGCTCTCAATACCAGTGACATGGCTAGGAGAGAAGTGCTGGGATCTCTTTGAGTCCTGCTTTGTCTTTCACATGAGAGTATTACACATATATATTACTACTCTTATTTTCGAAAATTAATTTTCAACTCGGTAAAACTTTTCTTTTTTTTCTGCTTTAAATAATTATTAAGTCCTTCCATAATTTATGTTTATCCATTTTTATATAATTAGTAACAATGACTGTTAATTATTTCAAAAGAAAAAAATTTGAAGGTACTTCAAAGGAAGAAATTTTGAAAATTCAGGATTTAAGCCTGTTTTTATAGGGTTAATAATTTCAAGATTGAAATACTTTCTCGCACAATATATTCCATAAATAGATAAGTGAAAATAAAAATTAAAGGAATAGTATAATGATATAAAAAAAAATACAATACCTTGGACAGCAAGAAGCATTTCTTCATTGGTCCACCTAGCATTAATGCGAGTATTGTTATCAGAAGGTCTACTGTCACCGAGACCATCGGAAGTGGTCGATATAAGAGAGGATAATACTTGCTTATTATTTTGTACCTGAAATTAATAAAACCCATTTAATCAATTGATTTTTAATGCAGTATAAAAATAAATTCAGCATAGTTTATCCACCTGTGCAAAGGAAAAAAAAAAATTCAACCTTAACGTTAGTAATTTATAATAACAATACTTTATTTATTCTGCGACAGGTCCCTTTAGAATAATACAGAGACAGAAATACAGACTATGGAGAATAAGAGATACATTAAAAAATCACAAAGTAAATAAATAATCACAATAAAAAAGTATAAATTGCTTTCTAACTTTAAAAATAAAAAATAAAAATTAAATAGAAAGTAAAAATAATTAAGAACGATCTAATAATTTATATAGTCATTTAAAAGTATGGAGGGTATTGGAGCGACGGATGTAGAAAGGGATGGAGTTCCCTAGAGATGAGAATTGAATAATGAATAATCTGTTGAAAACAGTGGTTCGGTGGGCCCTTGTATATAAATCTTAAAGACTGGAAAGAGATATTGCGGGAATGGCAAGAGAATTTGAATTGAAGGAGCTCGGAGCTGTATGAATGACAGGCGGCAGGATTGGATGACTTGGAAGAAGAAGGATACCAGGAAATACAACGGTAGGAGGGATAAAGGCACTTCAACTCTTCATAAAAACGAGAAACAGAGGCATCTCTTGGGATCCAGAAGATAAATCATACAAAGTAATTTATCGAATGTTTTAGTTTCATCTCAAGAACCCCAGAGACGTCCCTATATATCCTACAATAGTCAAATTGGGGAAATATTAAGGAAATGATTAGGAACCTATGATTTTCAAATAGAAATAGGTGATGGAAGTAATCTGGACGTTTTAAGATAGAAAAGGATATATTGAATAGATGGTTTTTCCAGGAAAGCGTTTGATCAAAGGTTTAGTTTAATTTATAGGTTATTCCAAATTTATAAAACAATTTAAGGTTTTTTTTTTATCACATTGGTCTGCCTGGTTAAATAAATAATTAATAAAACCATATTTTAACTAAATATTTTTTGTGGAATCCAAATTTAAGTCATCAATAAGTTTGTATATTTAAGAGCTCTAGTTAGATCATCTTGTTATGATGGAAATAAGATCAGATCTTCAGTATAGCTTGCAGCGAACATATACTGTTCACCATAACGAACAGTCACCCTAAAACTTCTAGAGATTATAAATAATAATATAAACATTTTTATTCCACAGAACAATAAATTGACAAAATGTTTAAATATTGATAAAAAATTCAATAACAAATCAAACCAACAACAAATATATTCTTTAAATAGTCAACTCCAAGAATCGGTGTCGACAGAGAGCAAAAGAGATATTATTCTTTTAAATCTAAATAGATGCAATATTTATGACTTTTATCAATGACGTCTTCACAGTTAACATACTTTAAAAGACTGGATTGATGCTCTTAAAGAAATAAATATATTAGCGATTTCTAATAAAAAAAACTTTCATAAGCATATCAAAACTTAGAAACTTCATTACTAACAGATTAGTTTAATGTCATAAAATCATATACCTAATTCACAAGATGTGCACATAATTCACTAAATTATTAATAAAAAAAGAATTAAGTACAAAATATATAATCTATATATGAAATTTTATTCAAGTTGTTAACTATAAAAATAACTCTTGTAACATTTCTAGAAAAATTTGATTTTAAAATATTTTGAAGAAAAATGTACATATAGATCATGATGGCAATGAATACTTTATAATAAATTAATGATCAAGTAATAATGAACACAAGGAAAATTAAAATGTATTTATTGTTTACCTTCTCTTAAAGCATACTTTTGCCTCTTAAAATAAAATAAAATAAATTTAAAAAATAATCAAATTAAAACAAAGGAAAAAACAAATATCAAGAAAAAAAATGACTATCATTAGCCAATTAGAAGCTTGATATTTGTTAAGGACAGATAGAGAGGAGGTAAGTAAATATTCAACATCATCAACAACAGTTGCAATCAGAAAGAATGTATTTATTATTCAATAAATTCCTTTAGAAGTACAACCATGATTGAAATCATTCATCTATAATAGAATGCAAGATTGAGTAAGAAAAATTTTATATTTAGTAAAAAAAAAAGAAGCTTATTACGACATGAATGAAAAAGTAAATAGCCAACAAACAACTTACAATAATAAAATTTTACACATTAAAATAATGGAAATAAAAAATTATCAGTCCAAAAATTATTACAAAATATTACAAATAATACTGTCAAGCGATTAAATTATTTTAAAAAGGGAAAGATGTTACTTTTTTTTTAATTGTACAGATTAAAAGTTTAAGTGGAAAACAAAAGTTATAAAACACTCCTCTCTCTCTACCTTTAAATTTAAGAATATACGTCCACAAAGTGTTAAGTAAAATTATACATATTTAAAATACAAAATTATATTATATACCCTAAGAGGATTCAATCAATTTAATATAACTAAACAAGAATAACAATTACAATAATTAAAAATGTTAAAATACTTCAATTACTATAAACAATAGAGACGTCTTAAAATTAGAAAAATACAATGAAAATTATATATTAAAATAAACAATAAAAGAATTAAATCACAATTACAAAATTATCGGTATTGAAGTTTTAAAGTAGAAAAGAGCTCTTTCCATTTTACAATAAACCAAATTATATCTTAAACATAAAATAATAAATAAAGTCTTAATCTCAAAGATTCTTAAAAGTTACGTTACTGGAATGTAACTGCTACTGAATGACAATAGAGCTGTATATATGATAGCAAAAGGAACGTATATAATTTTTAGAAAATATCAGGTTGTTTCACATCAAATATTAGCTTTTACAAAAAAAAAACTTCTTAACCCTCTGCCCTAAGATGCAGCCTGAAACAATAGAGCTTTAGGATATCAGATGACTTTTCTAAATATCTTAGTCCGTGGTACAGATTTATCAAATTATTAAAATCCTTCAAAAACTTTGTGAACAACTTCATCTTATCGTAACCTACAACATTTTTTATTTAAAAAATTTCTCAGATGTTCCCATTTGGTTTCCACTTGAATCGTAAGATAATTTTAACACAAAATCGAGAAAAAAATGTGGCCTGTAAAAATATCAGGCCGTTTGGCGTAACCTCCACTCTAAACATGTTAAAATAACAAAGTTATATCCTCTTTTGATATATGTAAGTAACTATTTAATAAGTAAAGTCGGAGATTTAGAGAAAAAACAAAATGTTTCAACGCTGTACTACATAACTTTGCCCACAGACTATCAATTAATCAAAGTCAAAATAAAACAAAATAATTTAAAAACCAAATATTTATTTATCTTATTTTAATAAGCATTCGAATATTTTATTAACGATAAATTTTTAATGAAAATTAGAAAACAAAGAGTCTTATGTCTATCAGATTATGTCCTTTCATAAATCATTTCAACAGAAGTCTAAAAGCAGAGGGTTAATAAATTAGGACATGTTTCACTGGCTTTGTTATACTTACCACAACCTACAAGAAACTTAATCATTAAATCATTGTTTATGAAAATATAAAAAAAATAATAATAATTTATGGAAGACAATTTTAATCAACTATAAAAAACTTTACAAGTTTTTAAGAAATATTTTTATGTTCAAAAAGTGACCATATGTCAAATAAAAAAAAGTTTAATGGACGAATAAAAAGACTTATGGACGAAAAGTTTAACATCCCAAACCTAAGCTCAAATATAGCTTATTACTGGCAAATCATAGCATTTTGAGCATAATATTCTAAAATCAATAATGTTAAAAATAATAATAAATAATATTATTAAAACTGCTTTCCACAAATTTATTTATTTCAAAGCATTAAAATTTTCTTAGTATACAGATATATGAAATTATAATGAAGCTAACGGGCAAAATGTACAGAAGCCAATGTAACATATTTCAAAAAGTTTAAACATGGTTCATGTATATGTATAGGAGTTTACACATGACTCATGAATAAGTATACAAGTTTATACATGACTCATGTATATGTATACGAGTTTATACATGTCTCATGTATAAACTATGACTAATAAACACTAATGATAACAACCATCCTTTGCAACTTTTTAAACATATGACAGAATTATAAACTGATTACATCAATAACATACTTAATACAGATAATAGAGAAAAAAACGAAGTAATTTATAAAAAAGGCAATCCTTATTTAGAAAATATTGCTTATTTATTATAGTCATTATAATTAATATTTAATCAATATTCTTCACAAGGCATTATTGATAACAATACAAATGCCGTGCAAGTCTTATATTAGGAACAATGAAATTATGCAATATAGCATACTTTTTTCTTTTTTAATACTCCTTAAAACTATAATCATTTCTAAGTATCAATCTAAACTCTAGCCTCACATTTGATCTACGAATTTGCATTATTCTTAACTAATACAATTATTCATTTTACCTCGTCACTGAAGACTAAGAAATCATTTTCAGCATCAATATGTTGTGATCATACAAATAAATTTTAAATAAATCAGTAATATGGGTGAAGATAGACGTCGCGCAGGAACGTCATCTAGTTAATTAATAAAAATAAAATATATAAGTTTAAAGAACAAACATTAATAATGATACACTACATCAGGTGTAAAAAAAAAAAAAAAATATATTGAAAAGTTAAATACAAAATCAGTAAATACCCTATTTTTCAGGATTAAAATAACACGAATGTGTTTAATATTGATCTATAGTTAGCTGAAACATTAAAAAAAAAAAAAGAAGTTCTAAGAGAGACAAACAAATGTGACATAAAATACATTTATTTAAAATTCGATTACGTAATAAAAGTATATATAATTAAATTATTTTACAATATATTTCCATGTGCTATCTTCATAGATAAAGATAAAAATTCTATAAGACTAACGAACGAACTACGTACAAAATACTCAATCGTACAAGTGCAAGCTGTGGAAATTTATCCTAAATTTATTTAAATTGTTTTATACAGGAATATTTTTCACGGTACTGATAATACATAAATATTTATATATTTTAAATCAGATAGATCAACACAATTAATAAAGCAATGATAGTATGTTAATAGAATGAAAGATTTTTTCAATATATAAATTTATTATTTATTTTAAATTTTATAAAAAAAATTATTAAAAAATAATGGGCATCAAAACACGATTTGATATAAAATTCAATAAAAGGGCATTGGTGGTCCTGTAAATATAATTATAAATAAAGGAAGGAGATGGTCCGGGGTGGTGGTGATAAATAGGCTAAATAGTTTTGTCACTATTTAGCTTATTTATTTATCACCGCCACCCCAGACCATCTCCTTCCTTTATAATGCAACGGTCAACTATTAAATATTTAAAATAATTATAAATGTTTGTACTCAGATAAATATAGTACGGTAAAACTTTTACAAACCATAACTAAAGGAAAAAGATGAATTTTCCAAAAAAAACTATAGATCAGGAAGAAAACAACAAAAAATTTAATTAATTGAAGGATTCTGCTCTCATTAAATTAGTTACAGCCAATAAAAACAAGTAGGAGGTGGAGTAACCCCTCAGAACTGGACTTTATAGATAGTTTTTTTTATTTCATTCAGCCAGACGAAGGCACGAAACAGGTAGCAAAGAAGAATTATACAATATTATACAGGAAGACGCCTTTTTGTCGATTTTTATCTCATTCCCGTAATATTGAGCCTCAATTAAAGAACGATTCAATTATATTAAAGAAAGAAAATATATATATATATATTAGTGAATATTAAATTTATTGACCTATAATTTATAAATAACTAACCTAATCTGTGTATAAAAAAAAAACGTGATTAAATTTAAAAACTTTATTTAATTTAAAATGTTATTTTAATCTTAAGAACTATATGCAGGTCCTATAAACGTACTTGTCTTTTTAGGGAGACTATGTCCCTGTCCATGCTCTTAAGGATGGCGTCGCCCCCTTGCTGGGGTTGTTCCGCAGAGGATAATGTCACTAGGTCGTCATGGTTAATGTACATCCCTCGAGGGGGTTTGCGTTTGCTACGAGCAAGGACGCTGTTCGCGTGGCGATCTCTTGGTTTAGCCGGTCCAACGGTAGGTCGTATACATCCAGTTCGCCTGAAAAATAAAACACAAAAATTGTGGTAAAATAGTTCATAATTATATTTTTAAATTATAAAATATTAATGACCTATTAAAATCAGGGATCGAATGAAACACTTAACTCTTTTAGTCAAAAGTAAAAATTTAACTTTAATTTAAGTTTTAATGTTTTTAAGTTTTTATTAACAGAAAATCTAAGCATCAGTAAATGTCCATACCTGTATGAAACATAATAATAATTTTTCTATGCATATAACATATTATATTTACAATGTCTACAACTATAGAACAAGATAGTATGTATTATGTTAATTCAAAAACATTTAAGCTTTTACTTTTCAAATAAAACAATTCTTATTAACAAACAAAGCTTTGTAATGTATAATGTTCTATAAGTTAACACTGAAACATTTTTCAGGATCACCGGAATATATTAATTTTCCACTCACAGTACTGAGCAGTATGATGATTATAATTATTATTATAATTTGTAAATTTTTTATACTTGTAACTTTTATTTTAGCGGAAATAAGTAAAATTTTAACAAATACATTTTTATGAAATTTATTTACGTGTTAAAAAAGTAAAAACTTTTTTAAGCTTGAATTTATATTTCTTTTTCTGGTTTTCTAGTTGTTTAATTTTAAGAAAAAGTTTTGTATTAAGAAGATTGTTATTATTAAATATTGTAAAAACATTAACTTTTGAACAAATAACCAAAAAAAAAAAGAATAATATTATGACAGTTAATTGGCATAAAATATAACCATTTTGGCTAGAAAAAAAAATTTAAATTAGGGGAGAGTGAAGGGAAGGCCATCAGTTGATTGGCATACATACATTCGCAGTTGATATCAATGTAGCCATAACACAGTTAATATATAAAAAATTGGATATTGACTCAATATCCAGAAAAAAAAATAAAAGTAAGTGAAAGTAAGAAAATCTGTTGCCCGCATCACACAATCTTCATTATTTCCTCGACTTTTAACAGAAATTATTGTGTGACAATATTAGACAATAGCAAAAAGTTTTTGATTAACAATATTTTTTACACTGATCTTCCACAAGCCAGTTTACATTGCTTTAGTTTATCAAATAAATCGTACTCAAATCTTTTCTTTGATCAATTTACAGGAAAATAAATCTAATTCAATTTTTTTTTTTTTTTTTTGTTTCTTGATGGACATATGTAAAGATATAAAAACTTTTCTGAAATAGGTAGGAAAGTCATGAGAGTGGACACACCAGGTTTTTTTTGTTTTCCTGGTTGTTTAGCTCGTTTCTGAAAAGTGTTTGAGTCTTTTCAGAGCATGACAAATAAATTTTATGATAATTTAAAGTTGCATCAGAATGAGCTAATGTATTTAAGTGTGTCTTTCTAGGGTTAAAAATAAACAACAAAAGAAATTTTAAGACCTCTTTCCATATAAAATATACCAATGTAACTTTAAATAATTGAAATTAAATAAGGATAAATGAATTATTTTTAACAAAAAAGCGAATATACCTCCAATGAGTGTAACACGAATTACACAAAGGGCCTTTTGAAGTGGTCTGAGCTATCGTACAAACTACACCGCAGTTACTACACGTCGTTTTGGATTCAGCTCCATCTTTCTGCAAAAGAAAAAGAAAAAAATGTTATATGTAAGAAATATTATTCAACTAAAAAATATAGAGCTTTACTAAATAATAATAAAACACATTAAAATTAATAATGCTTATGCGCACACTAAATGAGTTTCAGTCATCAGTTCAATAGTCTGACGGGAAGCACGATTATCTTCACAGCTTAAAAAGTCTATGAACTATCTTTCAAATTTAAGACGGTACCAAATGTGGGTTGGGTTACTTCAACCAAATCTTCACACATTACTATACAAATAGACTTATGGGATGAAGACGTACAATTCCAAAATTTCAAACATATCATGTAGGTCTGTTAACTGTTAAGACAGATAAAATATTTGAATTAATTAAAAGTATAATTCTGAAAAATGGTAAATGACAGAACAAATTTTTTTCAATAAGCGCAGAGAGGAAATTGTCCTTATGGGATTAAGAATAGGACATAACAGGCTAACGCACCTTCACGTAATTACTAAAGAAAATCTGCCCATTAGTCGAAGGTGTCGAGAGAGGATGAAAGTTGCCCATATCTTTGAGAATTGCGCCTATTACATCAGAAAGTTGAATGAAAAAAGGATTCAAATACATTGACTGTTTTGGGAAATGAGGAAGAAGTCTTATTTAAAGTAATATTTTTTCAGTCCGAAGAAGGAATTTTTAAAAATATCTGAAACCTTCTCCGAAACTAGTGGACCGATTTTTTTCAAATTTGGATTTAAAGTCAGAGGTCACCTAAGGATGATTCTCCTTCATTGACATTATCATCCGCCTTTTCCTTTCAAAATGGCGGCCGAAAAAACCTGCATCGCTATAGACTGTAATGCCTAAACGAATGTACCAATTTCAATGAAACTCAGCTAAAGTCTTCTTCTCGATGCCCTTTAAATTTATCTATGTAATATACATCAACAAAAAGAAGCTAGAAAAAAACTCATGAGGAGTGGTAAAATTAGATTCCAAATAACTCTTGATATTGAATATGGTTATTTAAAAGTTTATAAAATTTCTTTAAAAAAAGTTGTTAAAATAGGACAATTTGGGGCAAAGATATGGTCTCTAGATGTTTTTTATATGTTCTACTGTAAAGGTTATATCCTTTGTTTTGAATATGTTACTGAAGTAATGCTATTTTTATTTTAAAAAATTACTAATGATGGAAAAAAAATGTTTAGGCCAATAATTGGAATCTCTGTTTTTTTCTTTTTCTTTGTCACAAGGAAGGTAATGTTGCTTTAGATGTATAATTGTTTGGAAATAATAAACTATTGTAAAATAATTTGCAAGTTTTTTTTTTATTATTCATTTATTTTATTATTTATTATAGACAACCAGCAAATATAACTATAAATAGAAATATATACATAAATTTAATAAATGGCGTTGATAATCTACAGGTTTTATGCCTAAACTTCATAACAACTGACCAACCAGAAGAAAATTTAATTTACTTGGTTGACCGTTTGCATAACGTATGAAGAGATAGTTGGTTGTACCACATAAGTCAGAAATGGTAAGATCAGGAGTAAACGAAAAAAATAAAAAGTAAGTTAAATAATAGATGACGCTTAAAACCAAAATAAAATGTTTTATTGAATACTTAATAATTAACTGCTATATTATAAAGGAAGGAGATGGTCCGGGGTGGCGGTCATAAATAGACTAAATAGCCGCAAAACTATTTTATTAAAAGCCAACGTTTCGACCCGACTTTGCAGGTCTTCTTCAGGGCAAGAACGGACAAATACAAAAAGATGTAGAGAATTGTGGAAGTTACATCATATTAAGATAAAAAATTATAAACAATATGAATAACCTTATATTTATAAACAGTAAGTACATTAAAATATTAAGAACAATAAGTTGTATAAACAGAGTAAGCTAAATAACAAGATCCTAAACTGAAGTAAATAGATGGTAACAATTGTTGTAGTATAATGTATAATATAATCTATGCAATTGTGAATATACTCCTACCTACAAATCTATAGTCCTCCTACAGATCTAGTTTAATAAAATATTTTTGCGACTATTTAGTATATTTATGACCGCCATCCCGTACCATCCCCTTCCTTAAAATATTTTATCTTTGTGTTGATGGCTGATCGTATCTTACATCAATAAGGAGATAGTGAGATATTGATGATGAAGATCTAGATTTATATGCAACAAAAACATTGAAATATGTCATATACCATGGGTGTGGACCCTGAGGCCTCGATTAGACCATGGTACAGACGCCTTTTTATCAAATTATTAACATCCACTTAAAACTTTGTGTACGGCTTCATCTTATGGTAACCTACAAATTCTTTATCGATGAAAATTCTCAGAAATAGTACATTTTCTCAATAAATTGATTAATTTAATGGTGTATTAAAAACTCATAAATACCCATTAGCTTTCCCACTTGAATTAATTCCAATTCCGAGAATTTTCATAAATAAAAAAGTTATGGATTAAGATGAGATGAAACTATTCACGAACTTAATTATTTGATAAAAAGGGGTCTGTCTATCTCATGCACTAGATATTTATTAATTTAGCCCTAGAACTAATTAATAGAATAGAATTGAATATGTACATATATATATATATATATATATATATATATATATATATATATACACACATGAGGGTATGCATTTAGTGATAAATAAAATCAGTAACAGTAAAATATAAAAAATTGTTCCTAACAAGATAAACTCAATATTTCTAACACAAATATATTCATAATAATAATAAATACACCTGTATAATTAATAACATATGCATTTCAAAATAGCTTTCTGAGACAAACTGAATGGTTTGTCATGTGATGAATATTTATATATAGAAAGATGAATATTTATATACAGAATAGAACCTTTCTAAATCTACAGACGATTAGTTGGACATTACAAAAAAAGTAACATTGTTATATAATAACCAAACAAAATAAGTTAATTGTTGTTTATATTTGAATTGTACTACTTTCTTTTCTAGTAAGCGAGGCAATCCAATCTTTTAGTTTTAAACGGAAAGAAGACTTTGGGATTTTAACATGATTTAAAATAAATTTGAGATAAACTTTTACTCCACTACCGCAAATCACTTGTCAATAAAAACATATGATTTCGTTTTAATTTGTTTTCAACTTTTACCAACTCAGTTATAAAAAATGAATATTTTGCAATTATCTACTACATTCTAGAATGAAGAAAACGTTCTACAACTACTTCAAGTAGCAGATATACTGCATAAGTCAAGAAAATGTTCGAAGAGAGTAAGTAATGAAGTTGTATTATCGACAGGGAGTCTGTCCTCTTTGGAAATGCTACAAGACAGAATGCAAGGTAGATATTACTGTTTTTATCAAGAACATGGTTTGAAACTGTCATTTATCACTGACAAAAAGTTAGACAAAAACCAGGATCATGTCGCTACATGACATCCAACCACATACTCTTATATACTTATATAATTGACGGTATATGTCATGGAATGATGATCTTGAGTTTCTTTTCTTTTCTTTTCTTTCTTGATAATGCCTGAATTGGCAAAACGTTGATTTTTTTTTTTTTTATTCTTTATCTGCATTTTGGATACATATAACTGTGGTTGGAATTTTTCTGATTATAAGCTAAAATTGAATTTCTGTCTCTTGATGAATTTTTTACTCCTAAAACATTACCTTAATTTTTTTTTCAGATAAGAAAGCTGTTGCTGTAATTTAATTTTTTTTTTCATGTATATACTAAGGACGTACCCTCTACCTGACCAACGGCCGACTAACTCCCATTTTTCAAATTATACGACTGTTCATTTAATTGTACCTACTCCTTGCTCAAATTGTAATTTAAATGTATTCTGTAGTAAAGATTGTATTGGGTTAGCAAATAAGTCCTTTCGGTTTTTCTGTTTATTTTTATGTCACCTATGATACACTTCTTATCTGATGAATTAATCCCTAAGGTGGATTATTTATCCTGTTTGTAATATGTCAACAACTATATCTGTTAACTCTTGTTGAAATTAGCTTAGTATTGTGTTTGCTATTGTACTATGAATATGGAAGAAAATATCATTCATTATCGGCATATTTTGTTATATTATTTAAAAAAAGGTAAGCGTGGTGCAGAAGCTCATAGAAAAATATGCAGTGTTTATTCCCCATGATGCTTCAGCCAAAGGCACCTGTCAAAATTGGTTTGCCAAATTCCACTCAGAAAATTTTCACATCATTGATGCTTAACGGTCTGTTCGCCCACATGAAATTGAAACGAGCAATGTTAAGGCCATTGTTGATCGAAATCACACTCAATCAGTGTGAGAGATTGCTATGGCCCTAAATGCGTCGCGTACAAGCGTAGAAAATCATTTGCACAAGCTTGGCTATGTTTCCAGGCTTAATGTTTGGGTCCCTCACATGATTTTTTTTTTTTTTTTTTTCGAAAATCACGAAAATGTTATAAGACTTTAGCTATCTACAAGAAATTTAGCAGGAACTTAGGGCCACATAAATTACATCAACAAGACCTTCATAAACAAACTACAAATGGAGAAAAAAATAAAAACCTATAAGGAGTTTTTGTTTATTACTTATGTAGGCATTAAATTAAAAAAACCATTCCTACGGCTTTGAAGAGCAATAATTCAGTTTTCCAATGGATATAGGTAACACCGAATTTGGAGAACATTCTGAATAGTTATGAATGATCGGAAGAGTGTTGTGTTCCATCAAGGCAATGCTAGGCTCCACAACTCATTGGTCACGCACAATAAATTATTAAGCCTTGGATGGGACCTTTTCACATGAATACCACTTATTCAGGTCTCTGCAGAACTCCATGAATGGAGAAAAATTCCGAAAGGAAGAGGACATCAAAAACCACTTGGATCAATTTTTTAATAATAAATGCCAGACATTCTATGAGCATGGCATTATGCAGTTAGTGGAAAGATGAGAAAAAGTCATATTAAATAATGGTCAACATATTGTAGATTAAAAT